CCCCAAAACCCCAAAACCCCAAAACCCCAAAACCCCAGATTCAGAAGAAGATATTGAATATATTTTAATATTCAGAAATACCCTTCAAGTTATCCTTGAGTTTGTATTTCTCCTCTAAAGCTCTTCATATCCTAGCTAGGTTTCCGACATCATTTGACTGGAGGTCTATCAAGCTTTCATATCTCTTGAAATATTCTGAAAGCTTAAACGGCTTAAGTTCGTTTATAAATTCTTTGCTTTCTAAGCTTTTAATCAAGTCTTCTCTAGAAATCTTTTCTGAGTTTTTCAAATTCTTAATTGGTATTTTAACGTTTGAATTCTTTAGCATGGTGAACATACTTTTATCAACATAACCATCTCCATCAAGATCGCACATATCGAAGAAGGCAATGAATTTTATTCCTTAAAGGAATTTTGTTTCATCATCTGAATGCCCAGGACGAATTCGAGGTAGTCGAGGTCTCCTGAGTCATCTTTATCCAGCACCCAAAAGATTTTTAATCTAAAGTTTCCTTGTCCTTACCCAGACCAAAGCTATTCATCATTTTGTTAAATGTCTTCTTGGTGAAGGCGAGTTCTAATGAGAATTAGAAGAGGAAATACCTTCTTCGTTGATAGTCTGTCTATCATTTTGCCCCTTTCCATTCATTTGTAATTTCACAGTGCTAGTAGGCTTTATCTTCCGATTTATTAACCACTTTTTAAATTTGTCATAATTTGTAGCCATGAAGTTGACATACTCACGTTTGTTAGCAACAATCCAATTCCAGGTATTCTGTTTCAACTTTTGAATAAGGTCTCTCTCGATGTATGATTTAATCGCCTCATCCATTCCTTTTCTTCTGCTCGTCCCTGTTTTAGAATTTAGGAGCAGATTTCATTCAGAAATCACCGCTTGGTTTATCTATAAGGTCAATTGGTTAGCTTACTTCTGCTAATTTATCATTCGACAACGACCACTGTTTGGACTTCATAATCACAGAATTCGGAATCGAGAAAATGATAGAATCTGGGTCAACATCATCACTATTTTTGCTCAGAAGCTTAGTGATCAACTTTCTCTTCTCCTCTTCTTTATTTATCAATAGGTTTTGGTTTAACTAAGATAGTCATTCTACTTTGGCTTTTTGACCGGATTGTAGCTCCCATTTTATTTTTAACTCCCATGACAGACTTCAGATCACTCACAACAGAGATATTACGCCTGAGTGAGCTTTTAAGAAAACTTTGTGTTGTGGGCTGCTTAAAAGGAATAACGCTCTGGTTGATACTAGTTTTCCGACTGCCAAGAAAAGACACTGTAGGCTGAAGGACTCTTTTATTCTCCAATTCCCGATCAAACTTAGGCTTTCTTGGCAAAGGTGGCTTAGCTATAGAAGTATTATAAAGATCCTTACTATTGTAAAGCATTTTGCTCATGGCTTCAGATCCTCTTCTTGCTATTTTGAGAATTTTGAGTTTTTTAGTTTTTCTTGAATTTTTCTTAGAAGTCACTTCTTTTAATTCTTCAAGCTGAGTAGCCTTATTCGGTTGATATCTTGTGTTAATTGACCTTATCCTTTTCTTTTTCTCTGAATGCATTGAACTAGGCCTATGTTTGAAGAAGTAGACATACCTCATACGAAATTTTTGTCCTGATGAACTCTTAGAATTTAACTTAGGGAAGGAAGGCTCTTCTTTTAAAATCATATCCACAGATTTTTCTATAGAAGTGTTAGAAAAGTGCATCGATTTCTTACCTCTTTGTAACGGTATCATTCTCTCTCGACTTTTCAGAGAGGGAGTGAACCCTACAGTCTTGACAAAGTTAATTGGGGATGCATTGTTCTCAAATCTTGTTCTATAAAGCTGTTTAGAAATAACCACAAGGAGTAAATCCTCAAGCCCAACAAGAGTCTAGGTTAAAATTTCTTACTTAATTTTTAATTTAGCATGTGCTCCAAAACTGCTGAGGTTATGCTTTTTGGGTGTAAGTTCCTCTTCCATATTGTTATATAAAATAACTTTTTAATTATTTCAGCTAGTGCTTTTTTGAAGGGGTTTTGGGGTTTTGGGGTTTTGGGGTTTTGGGG